AAGATTAAACGATAAATTTTGACACTTAATGTATTAAATAAAAATATCTGATGTGAGCATCACATGACTTCCCTGTACAGAATATTAAATTATACCCATTTTTTCTTGCATTTCATTTAAAATTATTGGATTGAATTAAATCTACTTCGTCGATATCGCGTCAACCACAACAGAATAAATGCACTCTTTAAAATTCACTATATTTGTTTACCATAGCGACACTCTGGCCGTAGGTTCACTTAACAGCGTTACATTTCGTTCATTTTTTAACTCAGAATACACAAAATTTATATCATCTTAAGAATTATCTAATCGTTGCCCCATTCAAATACTATAATAAATCTAAAACGATGTATAAAAGAAATTAAGCAAAGAACAACAACAAAAAAGAAACAACTTTTCACAGACGATCGAGTATTTCTTATTCAATTAATTCAGTTCTCACTTCGCGACAAGGCAAAAATACATTAAAACTCAAGATGCCTGTATTGAAAAGTCTGAAGTAAATCTTAAACACTTATTTCCTCGAATAAATTCCAGAATGATTTCATGATTTCCAGAATGAACATGATTTAATTCGCAATAGTAAAAGAAGGCGTTATTGCAAAGCTTACTTTCTCTAGATTGGCAACAAATCTACTATTCTGCTCTTTCAAATGTAAACAAGCAATGGCCGCCATGAAAAAAATTATTAGGCTTAGCGACACTTAAACACCTTTTAAATTGTTGATAATTCTAAAAATATTGTATACAGATTTACTAAAGCAAAAAATTTTAAAACAGTTTTTGCGACAACGATTTTTTAAATCGAACATCTGTTTTTAAAACAACAGCGATATTTTAAAGCAAAAAATGCACAATTTACAAACATATAAGAATAAAGAAACCGAGATCACTGAGCCGAGTAACAGAGTGGATATATATATATACATATATTTATATACTTTTGGTGCAGCCGATTGCAATAAAAATACGAGGTGCACATCTACATTTTATAGCAGTCCTATATACAAAATTTTAACGTTCTGAGGCTACTCGTTTCTGAGTTATGCGAGATACGTACGTACATACGTTCGCACAGACGCAACGAAAAATTCTCTTCAGAACTCATTTTAAATAAGTTTTTAAATTTTGGGGGGAGACTCCTTACGTACAGATGTCACGCAGAAACATCGTTAAATTGCATTCGATAGCGGTGAAAATGGATATTTGCGTTGAAATATGATGCCTGAAATTTTTTGCTAATACGATACTTACTTTTTACTACGTTCTGTCTCAATTTTAAAATTTCCTTCCCTTCCCCTTTTATCATAATTGTACTTTTACTTACTTCTTACGAAATCAGAAGCTTTAATGGATTCATTTTTGATATCTGACATGTGAAACTCGGGAGCAGGCACACTTTTGCACGAAAAATAGTGTATCGCATTTTGTGTTTTAAAAATGAATAACTTCAAGTTAAGGTTTTTATGCCTTTAGTTAATCTGAACGCAATTGTTGTAGAATTATCAACAAACTAAAACTTGGAGAACTAATAAAGCGACCATTTGTTTACATTTGAAACTCTTAGTAGAATAGTTAATTAAGTCAGTTTGCACACCAAATTGGGTGCCTTTCTTCCAGCTGGGACCAAAGTAAACTTTCAGTTTTGTGCAACGAAAAATTTATCTTCATGTGTGGTGGCTTATTTTTGCTTAGCTACTATAATTTTAATTGTAAAAATTGTTTTTTCAAACCGTTTTTTTAACTGCATTTTGGTATTTTACGTTTTTTTTTTTTTTTTTTTTTTTTTTTTTTTTGTTTTTTACAATTTTTTAATGAAAATTGTTTTAAGTTTTTATGATATAAGAAATCTGATGTGTACACCACATGACTTCCTTGTACGGAATATTAAATTATACGTATTTTATTTAAACTTATTAGATTGAATTAAACCTACTTCGCCGACAGCGCATAAACCACAATAGAACAAATGCATTCTTTAAAATTCACTTTGTTTACCATAGCGACACTCTGGCGCTAGGTTTACTTGACAGTATTATATTTCATTCATATTATAACTCAGAATGCACAAAATGTATATCATTTAAAGAATTATCTAATCGTTGCCACATGTTCTATTCAAATACTATAATAAAGCTAGAACTATGTATAAAAGAAATTAAGCAAACAAACAAAAAAAAAAAAAAAAAAAAAAAGTTTTCCACAGACGATTGAATATTTCTCATTTAATTAATTCAGTTCTCACTTCGCGAGAAGGCAAAAATACATAAAAACTCAAAATATCTATATTAAAAATTACGAAGTAAATCTCAAACGCTTATTTCCTCGAAAAAATTCCAGAAAGAATTAAGCATGATTTAATTGGCAATAATAAATGAATGCGCTATCTTTGTTGTTGCGAAACTAAGTTTCTCTAGATTGGCAACAAATCCACTAGTCTCCTGTTTCAAATATAAACATCAATGGCAGCCATTAAAAACGGGCTTACCGGCAATTAAACAACTTTAAAATTGCTCATAATTCTAAAAATATTGCACACAAATTTACTAAAGGCATAAAATCCTTAACCGGAAGATAAAAACAACATAATTCAATCATTTTTAAATCAAAAAATGTACAATTTACAAACATATAAGAGTAAAGAAACTGAGATCACTGAGCCAGGTAATAGAGTGGATATATATATATAAATATATTTATATACGTTTGGTGCGGCCGATTGCAACCAAAATACGAGGTGCACATCTACATGTTATAGCAGTCCTATATACAAAATTTCAACTTTCTGAGGCTACTCATTTTTGAGTTATGCGAGATACGTACATACGTTTGTAGAGACGCCACGAAAAATTCTCTTCAGAATTCATTTTAAAGCAGTTTTATAATTTTTTTGAAGGGAAAGAGTCTTTTATTCTGTCCTTACGAACAGATGTCACGCAAAAACATCGTTAAATTGCATTCGATAGTGGTCAAAATGGATATTTTCGTTGAAATATGCTGCCTGAAACTTTTCGCGATTACAATACTTCCTTTTTACTTCGTACAAGGAAGTAAAAAAAGGTCTATAGACTTTCTTCCTAAAAATAATTCAGCAGGAGTTTTCTGAGTCATATCGTGGGTCATTGTGCGTAGTGCAAACGTGACTTCGTGTAGTGAAATCGGCCGAATCATCCCAAAGTCTGTGATAGTTTTTTCGTTAAATTTTATGAACCTCTGAAGAAATTTTTATAACTAACTACATAATTCGTATACCTTGAGAAAATGTACTTTGCTGTTAAGTTTTTACTGTATAAAGCATCGTCTGCTATTCCAATAAAGTTCTTAATAAAATAAATTATTACAATTGCAATGCAGTAATGTTTGTCCACCCTATTTTACTAACATTAAAATGAGCTTCAAAATAGCACTAAAATAAGCTAATTTAATTAGATTAAACAAGAAACATGTAAACAGGAAGTTTCAAAGAATTTTAATTAGGAAATGCAGAAGTTTGCTTCGGAACCGTTCATAATGTATTTAATCGTATTTTCAAAGTTTAATGCAAAAGTTTATTTATGAACGGCGCATAATATTTCTTGAAATCACTTGACCGATTCCGTATCCCGTGACAGTAAACGTTCTCTTAATATTCAGAGAGCATTCCTCACTTGAATAGAACATGCCAATGTAAAATTAGGCAGAAAATGCAATCTTAGTTTGACGTAAGTGTATTGTTACAGATTTTGTATTTAGTTAGATGTTTTTAGTAGAATTCTAATTAAATTGGTTTACATTCCAGTGCAATGCAGAACGAAACATATTTTTAGAGAAAGCTACGTCGGAAATTGTAATTGACTACTGTATTAGCTGTAAACGTAATTTTACTCTTTTGCTTTCCAGAAATCGAGAAAACAGACATTACCATAACTTTCTCGTGCCCGATTAAAATACTTTAAAAAGTCAGATAGAAACATCGCAGAACAAATTGAAAATCTATATCAAACTCAGATTTTTTGTTTTGGCCCAATCTTAAATGATTGACCGCTTCCTAAGCGACATTTTTCTGGCACTTGACAAATTTTATAATCTGTTTGCTCATATTTTTAGCGATTTTATTTCAATTTAAAAAATATATTCCACACTTTGATCACGGTCACCGACCTGTTGATCACAACAAACGAAGTATTTTCTGTGTTAACGAGCAGGACTTGGGCGATTCTATAACAACATCCGAATTATATCATTAACCTCGATAATATTAACCGCAGTCTACTGTTCTAAGATAATCAAGTCAATTATAGAAACTGATTTATTATTAGTCCAAAGGAAGAATTTGCACAGAAGGATTATTAATTTCTTTTCGGCATTTTGTGTCGATTCACTAAAAGCGCTGTTTCACTTTTTAAATTCTTGCCACGAAATATTAGAGCCCTGTATTATACTTAAAGAAATTAAATAATGAAGAATCCGCATCTATGTATGTATGTTTCTCGCATTGTGATAAACAACGTTACCTAGAGCCGTCCAATTTTGAATAACGTAATCCTCCAACGAATATGGGCATGTGGAAGTCCAAATTTGGAATTTGTTTTATTATCGACTTCATATTTTGTAAAACGTTTTTTTACAAAATATTTTTGATTAACAAACTCGAGGGTTTCAAAGCGAGCAATGGCATCGTTGTACAAAAAGAACATTTTTATCTTCAACGCGCGAGACTGTGTATCGAAAATTCTAAAGATATGCTCATTTTAAAATTATTTTGCGATATTGCTGTTGAACTGAATTTTATGATTTAAGTGCGAAGAACATGATAAATAAAGGTAACACAAAATATTAGAAAAACGCCCCTTTCAACGTAATTTAAAATCCGAAACCTTTCAGATTTTTTTTTTTTTCAATTCTTATGTAAAATTTATTCTATTTTATTTATTAGTTCGTTACATTCCGAGTTCTCGTAGCATTCTTTGTGTTTTATCTTTAAATTAAATTTTCTTTAAAATAAATTTCATTTTCAGGGCAAAGCGGAAATGAAGACCTATTGGCTAATTAGCCACGATCCATCATCTGGTAAGAGACGGAACGTAGCTCGCGGAATGATAGTTCCACCTCCGCTTTTCAATATACGTGAATCAGAAAATAGAAGACAAAGTCCCAAAACAGAATTCTCCCATCGGACGACTCCAGCTCAAATCTACCGCTCTGTAGACGACGGCGTACCTTTACCTAACGACTCTGTTCCTGGAAAATCGTATTTCTTTGGATATCACAAGACAGTCCCCGCATACCAAAACGTCTAAATCCATCGGCTGTCGTTGCAACACGCGACGCTTCGCAGTCAGAACCATGGGATGGGAATGAATGGGGTTTTAATATGGCCTCTGATGATTCAAACCCAGACATCCTGGAGAGTTCAGATGAATGGTTTTGACTCTTCTGAAGCACCAAGAAGACTTTCTAGTAATTACAAACCTAATATCAAAGTAGCATCACTGACAGCTGCAGACGATGCGTACAAACGTCTTATTTATGCAAAGAGGAAGCAGGTTGAAAACTTGAGAAAATTTAAACAAAAAAAAAAAAAAAAAAAAAAAAAAAAAAAGTCCTTAATGGAAGAGGTCGTGGTCTGCAGATGAGTTTGACCTCTCAAAGGAGTCTTTGAAGGAATGGTTAACAAACCTTTTTTACCACAAGTTTGCATGCTCAAGTTTCTGAGCTCAAAAGACAAGAATCAACTGTCGGGCCACTTCAGACAGTGAAAGAGAGCGATATAGAAGAAAGCGTAGTGTAATATGTTTGTACCTGTGCTAACTAAATATATCTGTGATATATCCGTGGCAGTTTCGGTTCGTACATACAGTTTTATTCGAAGTAAATGTGTTTTTGTTATCTAAAACTCATAAGTAAACTTATTTCTTACATTCTTTTCATTTTTAAAATTTTACATATTTTTTCCTTTTCACATTTTTACTTTAATGACAAAAATTAAAGTTATTTTTGAAGTTTAACTTTTTATCTTCGCTTTTTGTTTTAAAAAAAAATCTGATGTGTACTTCCTTGTACGTGATGACTTCCTTGTACGGAATATTAAATTATGCGCATTTTTTCTTGCATTTCATTTAAACTTATTAGATTGAATTAAACCTACTTCGCCGACAGCGCATAAACCACAATAGAATAAATGCATTCTTTAAAATTCACTTTGTTTACCATAGCGACGCTCTGGCGCTAGGTTTATTTAACAGTATTATATTTCGTTCATATTATAACTCAGAATGCACAAAATTTATATCATTTAAAGAATTATCTAATCGTTCCCACATGTTCTATTCAAATACTACAATAAAGCTAGAACTATGTATAAAAGAAATTAAGCAAAGAAAACAAAAAAGAAACAGTTTTTCACAGACGATTGACTATTTCTCATTCAATTAATTCAGTTTTCACTTCGCGACAAGGCAAACATACATAAAAACTCAAAATATCTGTATTAAAAATTACGAAGTAAATCTTAAACACTTATTTCCTCGAAAAAATTCCAAAATGGATTAAGTATGATTTAATTGGCAATAATAAATGAAGGCGTTATCTTTGTTGTTGCGAAGCTAAGTTTCTCTAGATTGGCAACAAATCCGCTATCTTGCTGTTTCAAATGTAAACAAGAGCAATAGCCGCCATCAAAAACATTATTAGGCTTAGCGGCACTTAAACAATTTTAAAATTGTTGATAATTCTAAAAATATTGCATACAGATTTACTAAAGGCATAAAAACCTTAACCGGAAGATAAGAACAACATAATTCAATCATTTTTAAAGCAAAAAATGTACAATTTACAAACATATAAGAGTAAAGAAACTGAGATCAATGAGCCGGGTAACAGAGTGGACATATATATAAATATATTTATATACGTTTGGAGAGGCCGATTGCAACCAAAATACGAGATGAACATCTACATGTTATAGCAGTCCTATATACAAAATTTCAACGTTCTGAGGATACTCGATTTTGAGTTATGCGAGATACGTACATACGTTTGTAGAGACGACACGAAAAATTCTCTTCAGAATTCATTTTAAAGCAGTTTTATAATTTTTTTGGAGGTTTTAAAGCAGTTTTATAATTTTTTTGGAGTGTTTTATTCTGTCCTTACATACAGATATCACGGAAATACATCGTTAAATTGCATTTGAAAGAGGTCAAAATGGGATATTTTCGTTGAAATATGCTGCCTGAAAATTTTCGCGATTACCCGGAATTTCCTTTTTTCCTTCACTTCCTTTTTACTTCGTACAAGGAAGTAAGAAGAGTTTTTAAATTTACAATTTATTTATTTTGCAAAAGTTAAGATTTTTTTTCGCAAGTTCAATTTTTTTCTTTTGTTTTTTTCACAAATAGAACTTTACTTTTATCTTTTCCATTGAAAATAACTTTAAATTTCCTTTTCATTTTTCTTCCCAAACCTAATTTTTTTCTTCTAAAATTTTTTCTTCTCCCATTTTTTTTATTTTACACTTCAAGATTTATTGAGCTATCAAGATTATTAAAACCAAAATAAGTTCTAATTTATTTCCTTATTTGCCAGTAAAGAAGGCAGCATTCATTAATTAATCAAAATTTTTAATAGTTTAAATCAGGTGCTCTAACCGGTGGTACGCAAGAGAAACATAGATGGTACGCAAAGAAAAAGTATTTTAAACTATTAAATTCAAAAATCTCGTGAAGAAAAAGAAAAATTGATAGAAGTTTCCTGTGATCGAACTCTAACTGAAGATTTCAAAAATAATGCACTGGTTAACTTTTATCTGAACCGAAAAATAACTTTAAAGGCAATTCAAATAAAGCTATTAATTTTTTATTCCCTTTTTGCACAAACCTATTTGTGTGAACAATGATTTTCATCCATGTTATATTTAAAAATTAAATGCGAAACAAAATTAAAAGTGGATCCTAATTTCCTGTTAAAACTAAGTGAAGTAAGACCAGACACAAGGAAATTTGTCTTCCTTAAACGGACCCAAATTTCGCACTCAATTTTAGAATTAAAGTATTACAACTTAAATTTTGATAGTAAAAATTGTAACCCATTTTTAACCTAATATATTTTTTATATATGCATATTTAATACAAACAGCCAATAGGTTGTGCAAATGGCAAAATATATTCATTTTTAATATTTCTGTTGAGAAACTGAAAAAAATCATTGTAAAATGTAGCGGTGGTACTTACGTTTTTCAGTATTTATTTACATGGTACTTGTTAGTCGAAAGGTTGAGAACCGCTGGTTTAAATAATTCACAATGATAATATTACAGAAATAGAAAATTTGCTTCAGTTTAATTTTCAAAGAACTCTGATTCCCATTTACTATTATTTATCAATATAGCAATGTTTTGTTTAATATTCTAACCGCCACTGAATGTTACTTCCTTGTACGAAGTAAAGGAAGTACAAAAAATTCCGGGTATCATATTTCAACGAAAATATCAATTTTGACCGCTATCGAATGCAATTTAACTATGTTTTTGCGTGACATCTCTACGTAAAGACACAAAGGGCTTTTTTTTCCTCAAACCAATTATAAAGTTGATCCAAAATAGATTCAGATCAGAATTTTTTTCGTGGCGTCTGTACGTTCGTTTGTATGTATCTATCTCGCATAACTCAAAAACGAGTAGTTGTACACTGTTACTCGGCTCCCTGAGCTCCGTTTATTCTTATATGATAGTAAATCGCGAATATTTACTTAATCATGGAAAATGGTTATGCTGTTCTTATCATTCGGTTAAGGTTTTTATGCCTTTTATGTACTCTGCATGCCATCGTTGTAGAATCATCAACAATTTAAAAATTGTTTAAGTGCAGCTACGCCTGATTTTTGATTAACATAGCAGCCATATTTGTTTACATTTGAAACTTAGCAGAATCTTTCTGCACCTATTAGATTAATTAAACCAGAATTAAATCTTTCTGCACCTTCACTGTCTTTTTGTCGAGTGGGACCAAAAGGAAACTTAGTTTTCTGCACCGAAAATCTGCCTGCTGGCCGAATTGCTTGTTTTTGTGTAGAAACTGAACTCTAATTTTAATTGTAAATTTTTTTTTGTTTTAAATGAATTGGCGTTTTATGTTTTTGTCTATCTTTGAGTTTCTAAAGAATTTTTTTTTTTTTTTTTTTTTTTTTTTTTGTATTTCTGCCTCGCCGCGAAGTTAAAACCGATTTAATTGAATCAGAAATATACCCCCATAACACAAAACATCCTCAGGATGTCCTATTTAAGTCGAAATATCCCGGGACATAATTAGGATGTCCTGAGTATGTTGATTCTCAGATGTCCTGAGAACATCGTAATTTAACATCCTGAGGATGTCTTATTTAAGTCGCTATGTCCTGGGATATGAGAGGATGTCCTGAAGATGTTGATTCTCGGATGTCCTGAGGACTTCACCAATTTCACATCCTGAGGACATTCATACTGCATTGTCCGGAGGACTTCAGTTGTCAAACATTCTGAGGATGTTCGTTCTCAAATTTACCAGTTTTAGTTTCTTGCACATTATTTAATTTTCATATGTATTTTACTAAGTTGTTTCTAAATGCTGTACATTAAAAATATTGATATGATTGAAGATTTATTCTTCTTGTTTTGTTATTAATTTTAACTGCTATTTTTTCTGACGTTTTTAAAAATTTACTTTATCATGGAAAAGATTTTTTCCAATGGATTAGCATTTTCTAGAATATTTGCTAAATTCCAATAACATATATTTTTTATAAAAAATGTATAACTCGAAGAAGTAAGTTTAAATGAAATGCAGAAAAAACTGCTTATAATTTAATATTCTGTATAAGAAAGCCATGTGGTTTCCGCATCCGATTTCTTTTCCTGTAGTTTCGAAGATTTGGCAGTTAACATTTTTGAAGACATATTGTAGATAACAGTAAAATTGCAATTCTGAATTACATTTTAATTATCAATTCCTTTTAAATATTTCTGGAGTTTTCAACTTATTTGGTTCTTCTCGAGCTGAGTTATTATTGCTTTCTTCTTAATAAAGAATCCATTGTCACAATAGCTTGTAATTCTTTGTGATTGTGCTAGCACAATTACTTACTCATAAGCTTAATAGTGCATTTAAAGATTTGATGCACACCCCATTAGTCATTATGGGACTGAATTTAGTTATGATGTTTGTTAAATTTGCTTTTGGATGTGCTCTTAAAAATTCGTAGCACTCATCAAACTGCAAACGAAGCAATTCCAAAAGTACGATTCAATTACTTTGGCCTTCGTGGCCTGTCGAAGGTATTTAATAACCTTCTATAATATAATTTTTACATAATTCTTTTAGATAAGTTAAAAACGAACTGTCAATGCAAGAGTCTCAAATGCTTTGCTCTTCTTTAATTTTCCCAAAAGAGAAATTTGCGAGTTGTTTGATATTTATCTCACCCTACTATGCTTTTGTTGAGGGTCAACAAGGTCTATCAGTGGCCGAGCGGTTAAGTCGCTGAATACTGGGAGTTCCGACCTAGACTCGATTCTAGGCGAACGGACTTGCTGCATGCGTGTTTTCCCCATCTGTAATGTGTATACGGAGCCAGTTTCCCTTAGAAAGTCCTCCTCGAAAGCATCCCTTCCCTTAGCCAGAGTTACGGCAAAGCGCTAGAGTGCTTTGCCGTAATAAAAAAACACCACTGGGAATCAATATATTTTAAGATGCCACCCTGCTGACTTTCTTGACTAAAATAAACACACAGGAAATTGCATCCAATTTGTATTGTGTTAGCACTGGAGTTTAAATGCAATAAAATATTGATTTTTAGATCTCAGAAGATCAGATTCAGAAGAATATTAATTCAGATCTCAGAAGTGGTGTTAGCACTGGAGGA